TTAAAATTAATATACATTCATTGACTGCTTGTATTTTTTTTACTTTTTCGCTGGCGATATAATCTCATTCTTTGAGCAGCTATAAAATCTGTCTTGCCTTAATTATTTTCCACGTTAATAACTTCAAAGATTTATAAAAACTACGAATAATATAGAAATAATTTCTAATCAATAAACTTAAGTTTAGTACACGGCGCAAATGTTTAAATTGTTTTATTATTTTCAAGGAACAGGGTAAAATATTCTTCTGGTTGAGGCATTTTTCATGAAATCAAGATTTGTACTACGACGTAACTTTAAAATGTTTATTTATCTATGCCGATTTCCTTGTTGATATCGGTACGCATTCAACGTCGATGCCGGTACGCAAACAAAGACAGATCTCTATTAGCATACACGACGACTAATCACAATCGACCCGTATTGAAATGATTTCATCGAAAGTGATTGACGTACAGTTCCGTTGCATTCTCACAGTTTTACACGCTAATCGCGCCTAAAGAAGTTTTACTTAAAAAAGTAAGATCATATAGTAAATATCCATTACCTGAATGCAAAAACACAATTCATGAATCTCCTTAAAAAGGCGCCAAACCACAAAACAATGTCAAAATAATTTGCATCACTACTACACAACTACTATACAACTAAATCAAGCACTACACTTTAATTATATTCTTACATTTAATTATATTTTCACAAAATTAAAATTAACTCACTTTTACCACAGCAATACTAAATTATCACTAAAGCGTTCATCATTCACAAGCGTAAAACTGGCGCGGTTTTTTCGACCCGGTTGCGATGGCGCCCTGGTCGACACCGTTGTTTTCACTACAAAACGCACGAACGAAATGAAGGAGAACGTTAAAAAATTGTCATTAGGTCAACTACTATAGACCATAGATAATGCTGCATTGTCGAGATAGGAACTTTGGTTTATAAACAAACCGAAACCATTTGAAGTTGTATCCATGTATTGTTGTAGGAGATATAATTACCTGTTCTGTAATAAAAATCTGTTAATAATATTAGGTAAAATATTAGGTAACTATCATAAATTTATTACTAGGTATAATATTAGATAAATATCATAAATTTATTATTAACTACTGGTACGTGCAACTTCGATCTCATGGATTTTTTAATACAAGTTAAAGGTTTATGCATTTTCACGTTTTTTTATATGTATATTTATTTAATCATTCAGAAATAATGTACAGGTAATAATAAATTAACAGTTGCTTTATCATGATACTAAAATTTTGAGAATTTTAAAATTGAATAGATACAAATCTTCAAGAACTTTTTACAAAAATAATCTTACATCATAACAGATTTTTAACGTTTATTTATTCTCCCTAAAATCAATAAATCCTAATATCAATAGCTCTTAAATATTATACATATTAGATATTGAAATTTAACGTGACTGATTCATAAAAGATAATTAGATGACTATAAAAATGGTTGTAAAAAATATCACATTACTAATGAATTTGACTATTCACTATATTTTAAATGATTTGATATGAAGTTCAAAGCTTGTAATTAAAAACCGTGGATTTTAAGTTGATCTGGTTTTGCAAGTCCTGCTTTTTGCTATTTATTTTCAGATTTTTATATTAACTTTATTAAAAAAAAATCTTATGCAAGACCTTTGGCCTTTCTAATGCTCATAAAAAAATTAGACTTTCCTTTAATCAAAACTAATAATAAGTAAACAACACTTTTAGCGTTTTTCATGCTCTTAAAGAGATTTAATTTTCCTTTAATCATTGCTAATTAGTGTACATTTAAAAAATGCCTCAGTCGTATATTTATATATATATATATATATATATATATATATATATCTTATATATAAAATTTTTCTGTAATAATGTATGTAAAGATACTCCTCCTAAACAATTATTCGGATTTTGATAAATCTATCTGAAGTTTGTTAAGGGAATTTTTCAGAATGTAGGTGATTATAAAAATATAGTAATATTGTAGAAATAAATGAAAAAAGAAATTCAAAAAACCACATGTCAGTGCTTGACATTGAAAATATTTGAGACATTGTTCGGCATTAAGAATATTTGAGACATTGTTTGCCATTGAAAATATTTGAGCCATTGTATGGCATTGAAAACAAATGAAAACTGTCATCTGCCAAAAGTTTCAATTTACTTATGAGTCTAGACAATATTAGAATATGTATAATAAATACATTCATGATTTTAAGAAAAAT